CCGCTCTCAGGAGACCCTCATCCCAGCCCTCTGCCTCGTCCGGGCTCAGGGCATGTGCTGAAGCCTCTCCTGCGATAGGAGTCCCTGGCCAGCCCCAGCATGGGGGCCATGGAAAGCCCTGGGGAAGGGCAGGGTTGCAGCCAGCAGTGAAGCCTGTGACTCATTCGTGTCTCAACGTTTTGGAGCTCAATTTCTAAAGCGTGAGGCCAGAAGTCCCCCTGGCCTCCCCACCCGGAAGATGCTGGCAGGGGTGCAGGGCAGGCAGGTGCTGGGTACTGCTCCCAGCTCTGCCTCTGCTCCTGGGGTCAGCAAGAAGAGGGCAGGGAGGGGGCTGGTGGGCTCTCCCACACCTGGGACCTGCCAGCCTCACCCTGCAGCAGTGGGGGCACTGTGTTGTGCTGCTCACTGTGACCGTGGCAGGCTGGAGGCATCCCCCTTTGCCTTGAGGTGTCACTCAGTGAGCCCCTCATCTCCCTCGGGGCTCACTGGGTGCCAGCACCTGCAGTCCCGGGCAGCCAGCAGCGGCAGCAGCTAAAAATATGCAGCCGGCAGCAGGGCAGCCCCGTGCGCGGGAAGCTGTGGGCAGCAGGCAGGCGTGCGGGGCTATTCTCAGAGGGCTGCGGGACTATTCCTGGCCAGTCAATATTGATTCAGCTAGCTCAGGTGCAGCAGCTCAGCCTGTCAGCACCGTATTTAGGGCCCAGCGGGAGGCGAGGTGGGTGGCTGAATTGGGAGCATTGTCCGGGGGAGGAAGAGGGCAGGGAGAGGATGTGAGCTCTGTAATCTGCAGCCAGCGGCTCCCGGGCCTGCTGTGGCTGAGGGTTGGCCAGCACGGAGCATCTGCCCTGGTGATGGAGGGACAGAACCAGAACATGTGCAGGCAGCACCTGGTGGGAACAGTAGGGAGTGTGGGGCGCAAGGGAGTAGCTGCCACTCCTGGCTCCTGTGGCCTCTGAGCTGCTGGGCACGTCTGCTCTACACACACCTTCCCAGAGCTGGGGGACGGGGGACAGAGGACAGCTGGGGCCTCCAGGTAGCAAAGCAAGTCCCAGGCAGCTTCCTGGTTGCCTGCTTGTTCTAAGCACCATGGGAAGGTCCGGGCCAGCCCAGAACTGGAGGACTCTGTACAAACGGCCCTGCACGCACCTGAGCCTGCATCAACAAGCACAGGAGAGGGTGAGGAGCTGTTTGTCCCTGTTCACTGCTCTGAAATGTGCCAGTCCCCTCTGGCACCTCTGCTGAGGTTGCAGCACCAGCCACAGTGCAGCCCCTCATGTTGGCGTGGTGGGAGCTGCGTGAATTGCTCAATAATCACAGCAAGAGTGCTCATGACAGAGCCTGGGCCAAGGTTTATTTCCATGGGCACAGGCAGGGGCTGAGTGAGGCTTACCAGGGTCACACAGTGCACAAGTCACTGCAGCAAAGCTGGGCTGTGGTAGGCTGGGAGAAGTCACCTGTTCAAGATAGTAGCAGCTGAGAGCACAGGGGACCCTGCCAGACTGTACCCTCATCTCTCTGGGGATGCTGCTCTGAGGTGTCTGGTAAGCAATTTGGGGATGGACAGGGCTCTGCATGGGATCAATGAGGCTTGCTGCTGCTACAAGCCTGTATTGGTGAAGTCAGTGTCACCACTGTCATCAGAAGCTCCTGAAGTCCTTGAGGGCCACCTGGGCAGCATTACGTCCTGCTGCTCCCATCACTCCTCCTCCTGCAAGAAAGCAGAAATGGGGAGTGGTACTGCACCTCTTCCACATGCCCCTGCCTTCCTTCTGCAGCCCCCCCGAAAGGTCCTGGCTCCCAGCTCTGCTCACCAGGGTGGGCTCCACTTCCACACAGGTACAAGCCAGGAATTGGGGACCGGTAGCCAGAGTAAGATGGTGCTGGCCGGGCAAAGTACAGCTGGTCCAGAGACATCCCTCCGTGGAAGATGTTCTGCCAACAGAGCTCTATGTGAGCTGGCTGTGCCTGGCCCAAGACTGTATGCCCATCAGCATTGGCACCGTAGTGATGCTCAGAGGTGACACGCATGGTACCCACTCCACCGGGCAGTCCGAAGATCCTCTCCAGGTCTGGTGGTGTCAGGATATCCCTGCCAATGACGGATGCCTTAAATCCTGGGGCATAGTCTTCAATGCAGTCGAACACTAGAGAAAGATGAAGGGACTGGTGGGCAGCTTGGGGGGACATGGGAGCAAGCCCATGCACAGTTACAGGGCAGCTCTGCCCATGGGCAGGGACCTGTGCTCCTGGTGTTACTGGAGTCTGTGTGTGCATTGCCTACCCCTGTCTGCATATGCATTTCTGGCCTGCTCGTCCCAGGACTGACCATCTGCCAACACGGATGGGGTGTACTGGGTGAAGAGGGACACAACGTGGCAGCCCTGTGGGGCCAGTCCTGGGTCCAGCGCTGAGGGGATGCAGAGCTCGATCATGGGCCTGAGGGAGCAGTACACCAGCTGGGCAGGCAGAGAGGGACCCAGCCACCCCACACCACTTTCCCCAGCACCTGCCATGACTGTCCTGCCCCTTCCCCTGTGGAACCAAGGTGTGCCAGTGCAGGCTCCTACCTGTTGGAGGGGTGTCCGTGGGTAGCCTCGGTGAACGCCTGATGCAGGAGGTGGGTGTTCTCGCAGTTGAGATGTATGGAGCACTGGTGGTGGGGCAGGGGCTGGCCGTCATGGGCATTGGGGGCAGCCAGGAAGCTGGGCAGCCGATCCACTGCCACTGGGCATGGGATGGGGAAATGGGGGAAGCAGGATGGGGAAATGGGGGAAGCCTCTTATTGAGCCTAGCACTGGTGTTCCTCCAGCAGGGATGGCAGCAGAAGTGTCCTTGAAAGTACCTACCATTGATCTTGGTGACGGGGGAGCGTGTGTCAACCTGCCGGATCCGCTGGACAAAATCCTTCGGCAGCTGCTTCTAGGATGGGATATGCCAGTGCAGAGACTGACTGTGAGGGGCAAGTGTGGATGGGGGGATGCTGACATGCCAAGCCCCCACCAGTCCCATGCACCCCATACCTGAGGAATGAGTTCCAGGAAAGTGATTTGGGGGGAGGCATTGGAGAGCACCAGTTTACTCCTCACCTCTGTACCATCCTGCAGCGCAACACCCTGTGCCCGCCCGTCCCTGCCCAGCAGCACGTGGCACACTGTCTGGGCAGGCAGAGGGGACAAGACTTCACCAAGAGCATCCCTGCTTCCTGTAGGATGGCAAGGCAGCTCCCCTCTACCCGGCACCCCATACCTTCTCAGCAAAGATGTGGGCTCCCCGGGCTGTCGCTGCGTTGGCAATGGCTTGGGACAGGGCTCCCATCCCACCTGCCACGTAGCCCCAGGCTCCCCGCCGTCCCTCTAGCTCGCCCATGACATGGTGCAACAGCACGTACCTGTGGTAGCAGGATGCTAGGTTAGGTGCCAGACTATGGGACGGGTCTGTCCCCTGCATGAGCAGAGTGAGGGCGGTGCCACAGCCCCCACAGACGGGACCGTGCCAGCTCAGAGGATGCCAACTTAGTTACAGGGAGCACGCACCAGCCAGGACTCAATCTGACTCAAGGTTAGGGGTGTCCAAACAGCAAAGGGATAGGTGGGGGCCACCCAGGGGAGCCATATGGCAGGGATGGCCCCTTGCCCAGTTCCAACCCTTGAGGCACCCTGGCAAGGCTGAACAGGCAGTGAGAGGGAGAGGCAAGGAGTCAGGGCATTGGGTACTGGGGTGCAGCAGAGCCAAGCACAGAGTGTGGCATGGGGGGACAATGCAGCCATGAGCCCCAGGGGGAAGGGACCCTCACCCGCTGCCGGGGGTGTGGGGGCTAGTCATGGCTCCAATCACCGCGTCAGTAGCCAGAGTTGCCTTCAGGGGCTCTGACTCAAACCACTGATCCAGGATCTGGCCCAGGAGAAAGAGAGCATGCCAGGCTTGGGGTGCGGAGCTGCCGCAGCACCCTTGCAGGAAGGACCCAAGGCAGTGGGTGGCTCCACACTGCTACCATCAGCACAAACCTTGGAGATGGGAGCTGTGAGCACCTCGTAATAGCGGGGCAGCTGCTGGCCGAGCGCCAGTCCTGGGGGTGGAGAGGTGGTGTGAGAGCTGCATTGCTGTACCAGGGCTGGCTGCTGGTGCCCAGCTGGGTTTGGGGAACAGGCAGTGGGACCAAGGTCGGCAAGCCTACCAGAGCCTGCCAGCCCAGCTGGGGCTCCTGAGGAGGCTCTGCATTGCTCAACCCAGGTGCTGGCAAACACCCCTTGCCATTGGGGTTCCCCAGCACCCCAGATGTACCTGCCTGCAGCAGGGGCCACAGGGCTCGCAGGTTCCTGAGCTGCTGCAGCAGGGACCCCTTCCCCAGGGCAGCTGTATCCACTGGAGGAGAATCCAGCAGTGGGTCAAGGGCCGACACCATGCCCCCCATGAATGCCTCATACTCAGGGTAAGCCTGAAAGGGGACAGAGAGGGAAAAACAAGGACTGCACCATGGTAGGTGCAATGGATATCACACCCAGGAGCAACCCTGCTGCTTCAGGGACAGGGTAGCACCTCAACGGCTTTGCTGTGCCAGGTGCATGCTCCTGTAGTACCTGGGCATCCTTCTGGGAGAACTGAGCAATCTGCTGCTGATTCTGGGCCATGTTGTGTCCCAGCAGGAGGGAGCGAGGAGGGCTGCTGTCCTCCAGCAGTGGGGTGAAGGAGTAGGGGTCCCGTGGGAGCACCCTCAGGCCATGCCGCTACAAGACGGGGATGTCCCTGCTACAGGACTCACCCTGCAGAGACAGCCTTGCAGCAGGGGCACCCTGCCTGCATGCTGGGAGGTGCTGGCAGACCAGCAAGGGATGGGTGCCAATACCTGTAGCTCCAGCTCGGCATAGATTTGTGGCCGCAGCAGGCTGAGCAGGTACGACGCCCGGGGGAACTTGAACCCTGGAAGATGTGGGGTAGAGGAGGGTGGCCACACCCAGGGCTAGCCAGGGCCAGGGTGACAAGGGGCATGCAGGGGTACCTGGCACAATCTCCTCTGTGACAGCTGCACTGCCCAGCACGTGGCGCTTCTCCAGCACAGCTGTGCGCACCCCTGCCTGCTGCAGGTAGGCAGCCTGTGGGGAGCGTGGCATCGCACTGCCCATCCCTCCAGCTGGGATGTGTCCCTGTCAGTCTGAGCACCCTCTTGCACATGGTGCTCCCCCTCACCAGGGAGGGCCCTGTGGGAGCCCCCAGCCCCATGGGCACTGCCACAAAAACCCTCCCTTGACCACTGTGCAGACCCTTCCCAATCCCTGGCTGTTCCCCAGGGATAGAGGAGAGGCAGCATGCCATTCTTGGTACTTACTGCCACCAGCCCGTTGTGCCCTGCAAGGAGAGAGAGCGGTGAGCAGAGTCCAGTGTTGGTACAGTCCCACAGGACAGGGCACCCTGCCATGCCTAGGCATGGGGGAGCCACAGCCACCCAAATAACGGGCTCTGGACACAGGGATACAGGTGACAAGGGGCATCCTCCACTGGCCCTACAGCCCTGGCCCTAACGGTGCAGGGGAGGGGGACAGAAGTGCTCAAGGCAGATGTTCCCTTTGTGCCCTGCATGCTGGGGGGCTGCAATGCGTGCCCAGCTGTGCCAGACCCCTGGGGGTTTGCAACATGTCCAGCACTGCTGTGGTTCCTGCCTGGCCACTCCCCTGCCACCTGCTGTGGGGGAAGGACAAGTGGGGGTCCCCGCTGGCTCCCCACAGCTCGACACTTGCTCCCTTGCTCCGTTACCTGCCCCGATCACCACCGCGTCGTACTCCCGCTGCAGCCGCTCTGCAGCCCCGGCGTGGGTCAAACGTGCTCCTGATAGCCCCAGGGACAGATGCCAGTCCTGCAGCCAGCGGGAAGAGCAGACAGTGTTCAGTCTTGCCTGGATCCTGGTTGCCATTGCCCCACAGTGCCTGGCCATGGCTGCCCTGAGTCCTGCAGCCTGGACTTTGCTTTCCTGGCGGAACTCTTCCCAGGGCTTCCGGGCACGGGGAAGAGATGGGGGGGCCCGGGCAGGGAACGCCTTGAGGCAGGGCCAGCCACTGTGTGCCGGGGCTTACGGGGACGATAGGCGGGACAGGAGCACATGCCGAGCAGCACTGCCCCTGCTGCTGGCACTGACGCTGGCACAGTTTTGCTGGGGGCTTGCAGCAGGGCTGGAGACCAGCCCAGTGCTGAGAAGGCGACAGG